TGGACTTTCCACAGGGCAGGGAACCCTGACTGCTCTTTGGACTGGAGAGGGAGGGGAAGAGGAGTGGGGGGAGGGGGAGAAGGGTGGGAGGAGGGGGAGGGAAATGGGAGGCTGGGAGGAGGCAGAAACTTTTTTTTCTTTTCTCAATAAAAAAATTTAAAAAAATTAATAAAAAATAAAGTTAGTACGATTAAATGTCTGTGGAAGTTATATGATCATTCAGCAAATTATTTCCGTTCTTTTTTCTAAACATGCCGTTACAAAGATTCTGTTCTAGCCGGGAGGTGGTGGTGCACGCCTTTAATCTCAGCACTCAGAAGGCAGAGGCAGGCAGATCTCTGTGAGTTTGAGGTCAACCTGGTCTACAAGAGCTAGTTCCGAACAGGCTCCAAAGCTACAGAGAAACCCTGTCTCAAAAAACCAAACCAACCAAACAACCAAAGAAACAAAAAGAACCAACCCCCCCCCCAAAAAACAACAACAAAAAAAAAAAAAACCAAAGACTCAGTTCTAGATTAAGTGCAGGTTAATTGCTCCCTCAATACTGTGTTTATGCTGTCAAAACTACCTAGTTGATGAGTTCTCAGTTATTGATCAATCAATCTATCCATTCTTCCATCCACCCACTTACTCATCCATCAGCTCACAAATTATTGAAGACTCCATATGCAAGTTAATGACAAGGAGCTGAATATGTTACATTTTCCAATTAAAACATTATACAGTCCCAAAAGGCATTAAAATATTACACTGTATCCCATAAATATATATTAGTTAATCAAAAATTAAAATTATATGAAAGACTTGAAAATGCTGTGTATGCTAACTGAACAATTTAATTGATGTGTGTATACATCAATTATCATACTATATGAATTTTTAAAATTAAAATGATAAAAATAAATTTGTAAACATAAAAGAAAGATATGTGGTAGTTTCATTAAAGATATATTTATTTGAAGACAGTGGTTATAATTTATTGATAGCTGAATGTTTACCAAACATTCATAGAGATTAATGGATTTTTACATAGGAATTATCAGTATAAATATTTTGTCAAATATTTATTTGGGGAATTATTTGGTATGTCTATCACACCAAATGCCAAACTACAGCATCCAATAAAGCTCGGCTAAGTAAACAGATTACTGCTAGTATTTATTAATTGTTTAACACAAACAAACAAAACGCAACACCTAATGAAGGTGTACACGCCAGGGTGGGGCTGTTATAGGAGCTCCACATTGCTAGCTGAAAGCTTTCCATTTATCCATAAAAAAAAAGGGGGGGTGACAGCCCTTGTCGCTGAAGGTCTTTTCAGGCATGGCCAGCAAAAGGCAACTGCTGAAACTGTTCTTGAGATGCAAACGTGTGTGTGTGTGTGTGTGTGTGTGTGTGTGTGTGTGTAATAAGGAGAAATTGGACACCACTTAGAGAGGGGGGACAGGAGAGGAACTAGAGGCGGGGTACCTGGGAGGGGCTGGAGAAGGAGATGGAAAGGGGAAAGGTTGTAACACTATGATAATTTAAAAAACACATTACAAAAAAAATTAACTTTTTTGCAACATGTTAGGATGGCGTTTCTAAATGATTCCATAACATCCTCAACTGAAATTTCGAAAATGATTTTAAAAACGTAGTTTTTCATAAAAAGGTTTTAAAAAAGCCTATTGTCCTATAACTTTGATTTTCTTTCTCACATTGCTTTAGACCTACGCTTCCCAGTCATTTTCTTCTTGTCGCCCTCAGAGGAGATTTTTGTGCAGCACATTACCAGAGACTTCTTTCCAGGTGAGGCTGCCCTGAGCTACAGAGAACTGACTCCCTGGTGGCTCTCCAGCTGTGTCTTGTCCTGCACTGCCGCTCTGAGAAGGGGGACTCTTTTGCTACGCCCACTTCCATCTCCTTGGAAATTTCTAGCAGGATTAAATGGAATCTTCCAGGAAACACACACACACACACACACACCAAAAACAAAACAGAAAGGAATTGAAAGAATAGCCTGGAAAAAGTACCTCCCATGCTTGCGAATCAAAAGAATCCGTATTATGAAAGTGTTTACATTACATTATCAAGAGCAATGTATAGATTCTGGAGTTTTACCACCTAAATTCTTCATAGAACTAGGAAAGATTATAAAGTTCATGAAGACTCTAGATATCCCAAGCAATCTGAGCAAAAAGAGAAATTCTGACAATATTTTAATACCTGATCTTAAACTATAAGACAGAGATATGGCAACAAATCCATTATAATAAATTTTCAAAAATCAACAAGTCCGGCAATGGGACAGAATACAGTATCCAGAAATGAATGCAGGCAGCTACAGCCACTTGGGTTTAGACAAATGTACCAAACTTGCATGGGGGAAAGATGGCTCCTCCGCAAAAAAAAAAAAAAAAAAATTGCTGGATGACGTAAACATCCACATGCAAGGAGTAACCTCTTTCCCTTTCTCTTGCTAACATAAAAGTCAATTAAAAATGGCTCAAAGACTGTAACGTAAGACTTGAAGGTTTGAAACTACAGGGCATATAGGTACAGACACAAACTCATTGTAGAGGACTCAGTAGTACAGAAAACAGTAGCAAGCATTGATAAATGGGTTTGAATGAAATCCGAAAGCTCCCATACAGCAAGAGGTACAAGAAACCATGAAGAGACAAAGGCAGAATGGCAAATCTTCCTTGTCGCCTATGTACTTTGGATTCTGGTTTTAGGAACAGAAGTCATGTTAATAAGGGGAATGGGTATCAGGGGAGAGCATCAGAAAGAACAGAAAGCAGGACAAAGGAAAATAGGTACGTTTTCCATTTTCTTGATTTTCTTTCCATATCTGACCTTCCTACTGTTTCTTTCCTGGCTTTCCATTCTTCATTGGACTCTGTAATTCCCTCAGAAACATTAAGACACAACTGAAGCATGTTATTTAATTGTGTATTTTCCTTTAACAAAGAATTCTTTCACATTTCCTAAGGTGTAAATGTATAGAGCTTAGATAGTTTCTATTTTTAAAGACAAAAAAAAAAAAATCCCTACACTGCTCCTACAGGAGTTTATTACATTACAGCCTCTAATGGGTTATTTTCAATAAACCACAATAAGAAATAAAAGGATATGAAATAAGTTTATATTTAGGCAAATGGAGCTATTAAGGGGTCACAATTTATAGAAGACAACTCATAAAATTGCACAACATTTGGTGAAAACCTCACTCAACAATACTTTATTGCTGCAGTGTGCGATAAACACGGGGTGTGGCATGAACGAAATTAAACTGGAACCCAGCTGTGGCATTCCTACAGCACATTTAAATCAACCTAACAATTTCAGTAAATGCCTCAAAATGAATGTGACCGTAGAAAAATAAACACAACATGGAAAAGTAAATTGACTTTACATTTCTTAATACCCATTTTCCCAGCCTAGATCAAAATTCTCAGTGAGGAAACAACCTGAATTTTAAGTAATGTTATCTTCTCTTCCTTCATGTAATCTTTTAATAAACCTTCTTCAAAGCTTCAGCAACTTTGCGACATAAACTATTTGCAAATATTCAAAGTTATTCGTGAACATTTTTGTGATATAAAACATTATATCCTACCTTTCTTTGGCTTGGAGATCTTTTTTTATTAGTGCTTCGAATTTCTTAATCTCATTGGCCACATCCTTTAAAGAAAACTCACCATTAGTTCCCTGTCTTTAAAAGCCATTGAAAAACTCATGTTCAACCAGTTTTAAATGGTAACACGCAGTACTAATTGAAAGTAATTAAGAACAAGATGAGAAAAGATGCCTTTGGGAATACTTTTTATAGTTCTTATTTGTTCTTGTAGATGAGGCTAACCTAAATCAATATAGAAATTGTCTAACCTTAATCACAAAATTCATGATTCTATCTCTCTCTTTTAAAATTGTATGTGCATGTGTATGAATGTAATGTGCAAACACTTGTGTGTGTGTGTGTGTGTGAGAGGGTGTGTGTGAGTGTGTATGTATGTATGTGTGTGTGTTTATATACAGTCTACTGCCCCTGTGGAGGTGAGAGAACAGCCTCAAGTTTTAGTCTTTATCCCCAATTTTGTTTTAGACAGCATCTCTTGTTCACTGCTGGAAATTCTCCTGTCTCAGACCCCATCTCACAACAGGGGGACTAGGATTACAGACACAACCTTGTTAACTCTATAAACTTTTCTTAAATATTTCTATCAATCTTTATTAAAAACTTTCATCAACTCAGGTAAACTTAGATTTTAATAGTAAAAATGGATCCAGAAAAATATGTGGATAATTTACCTAAAGTTCAAGTATAAGGTATTTTGTTAGAATTTTTAAAATAATACACAGACTAATATAAAATACAATGGGTTTATGGACGAGAGAGCAAGGCCAATATCTTCTTCACCAGCACCCATATACTACAATAAAATATGTCAGCATTCGGGTTTCAATCAGTAGTTATCCTCAAAACATAGTATACTTTTCTGTGACATAACTAGGTTTTATCCTATTGAAATGCTGACACTCAGTGTGGCCTAGTAAAATATTTCTAGTGCAGTCATTTTAGTTTAAAATGTCTTACCAGCAACAAGTGCATTAATATGTCTGGGATTCATAACAAATTACATCGCATGGTAAAGAGGAATGGGGTGTTCACAGCTACATCATACTAGACTCCCTATAAACATGAGAATCCAAGCAGACATTCCTACATTGGGAGTTTGAGCTCCCTGGCCTAAAATTACATCCTGTTACTGAACAAACAATAGTAAAATGGATGGAATATACAAACTGGGAGAATTTTGGATAAGAACGGGGAAGATCAAGGATACTTTGAAAAGAAAATAAGAACTTTTAGAAGGTTTCTGCACATTACAAAGAAAAAACATTGTTATTTAAGAGAAAAGACATCAGCAAATGATGCAACTTACCTCTGCCTCCTTTTTCTTTTTCATCAGTTTCTGAGCCTCTAGTGCTTTCAAAGTTCGATTTGGTTCAGGCTTAGGGATCTGTATAATGGCGGCTTGGATTTTGGCCATTATCTCATTTTGTCGTCTTCTATTTAAACGTTGCTGGGTACGGCATACATATTAATTTATTTATTCAGCTTGTCAAAATAATAGTTATGTAATATGTGTTCAGACATACATATACATAAAATATCTGTTAATGATTTCAGAACTTAGCAATTGACAAATGCACTATGTGTTACCATTCCATAATGCCAATATCAACATTATTTACAATGAAAACTATGCTGCTAAACCACAACAATGAAATACTAAAATTCTGACTAAATGATGTATGCATTGTTCTTATGTGTGTTGGTACAAGAATCGTCAGGGGCTCTAAATACGAAGAAGATTATAATTCTTTCCCAATGCCACCTTCATGACCAGGCCAATCATGAGAAGAAGATATTCTTTCTCTCATGTGAAGCCCCCTGGATTCTATAGACCCATTAGCTGCCAATAGAAAAAACAGCTTCCCTAAACCTGTTCACCTACACATGAGTTCAGGGGCAATCCTCAACTACTGGCCTGACGTTAAAATATAAAGCATCACTGGATAATTTCTTAAGAAGACAGGTAATAATTATTTTAAGGACAATATAAACAGAATGATGTAATTGAGAGAAAAATCTCTGAAATATGATAAAGTAAAAGTAAATATCTTATAAATACAATAACATAAAAATTTATGTTTTTGTTACTAAGGCATTGTAGAACTAAATTCACTAATTTCTACAACCAAAGATAAGGGAATTTAATTTACCACTAAATTAAATTCAGGAATTATAATTTTTGTGCTTTATTTTCACTTTCTAAAAAATGTGATTTTTTTCAAACCACATTTTAATTGTCATATGTTTATTTCTCTTTTAAAGAAAGCCAGGAAAGTCCAGGCTTCATTTTTTTTTTTTACTGATTTCTATTGAGCTCTATATTTTTCTCTGCTCCCCTCCCTGTCTCCCCCCTCCTTTACAACCCTCTCCCAAGGTCCCCATGCTCCTAATTTACTTAGGAGATCTTGTCTTTTTCTACTACTCGTGTAGATTAGATCTATGTATGTCTCTCCTAGGGTCCTCATTGTTGTCTAGGTTCTCTGAGATTGTGATTTGTGGATAAGGAAAATGTGGTACATTTACACAATGAAGTACTACACCATAGGAAAAAAATAATGACATCTTGAATTCTGCAGGCAAATGGATGGAGCTAGAAAACATCATTTTGAGTGAGGTAACCTAGACCCAGAAAGACAGTTATCACATGTACTCACTCACAAATGGTTTTTAAACATAAAAGCAAAGAAAACCAGGCTTTGTCTTTTGTCTTATTTACTTCCTATGGTCATGTTTCACATTCTCTCTTCCACAGTATCCCACACCTTTTGGCTTTTCTTTGGAGATTTTCTTCATTAGACTTGACTTTTAAAACCTGGACTGCCTGCTTCAATGCCAATGAAGGCCCAGAACTTGACGTCAACTTAAACTCTGGATTTAGAGTGTTCAATCTCTACCATGCAAAAGCATTAAAAGAATGATCCTGCCCTCTGGCGAGTAACAGAAGGCTTTCTGTAAGTTTGCCTCTTGAATGTTTCCCTCCTTCCTCACCAAGAAGCTGCCTATACTAAGGCTATATTAATTTCTTATCATCTTAATCAATTTAAAAAGCAAGTTTCCAAAGAAATAGGAAGAACCATAACTCTATTGCCTGTATTTTACACATTCCATATATCCAGCCACTTGAAATGTTTTAAAAGTCTTTAATGATTTTTATTCTCCTGTCTTTAAAGACACAGATCATTAAAGATTTTTCAAAGAGGTTTGAGAAGCAGTGGTGAGTTGCACAAAGTAGTTGTCAAGGACAAGATAGTTGGAAAGGGAAGGAAGCAGAGAAGTCACCCATCAAAAAGAAATGGTGCAGGGTATCGAGACTGGGGAATTGCAGAAAAGTGGACAGAGAGGGCCATGGGTAATTGTACCCTCTCTCTTCCACAGGAACACAGTGGTAGAGGTCCTTTGGCCAGTGCTGTAGCTAATAGCCAATCATTTCCCAAAGGAGCTGAGGCACAAATTTCATCCAGTAAAAGAAATGGATTTTCCCGGATAGGCAGTTAATAGTTCTTAGCCACCATTGCAGGTGAACGTGAGTATAAAGATGGAGAGGAGAAAATACGAGACGAGGAGAGAGATGGTAAGGCAAAGCAAAGCCATGCATCACAACATGCAATCTATCTACACAGCTGCTTATGCAATGTGTACTTATTACAGGCAGAAATAAATCACCAATAATAGACTAGGTATTAATGAATTTCTAGAAAAAAATGTTCTAAAGAACCTTTTCGATATTAAAGTGTCTTTGCTCTTCCTCAAGTTTTTGAAATTTTTCAAACTTCTCAAAATGTATTCGGGCAAGGTCTTCTTTCATTTGTTTACATTTTTCTTGAAACCTGCATGTAACCCGCATCAGATTGAAATCAGTTTGGCGTGGTATCAGGTTTTTAAGTCTCTAAATGAAGAAAGCATTTCAAAGGTTTCTGTTACTGGAGAATAGAAGGTGGACTGGCATTGCAGTCACAGGTAAGCTTTTGCATTGAAAATAAATTTTATATACATCATCATAGCTAAAATAAACAAAGTATGTTACTCATGTTAATCACTAAAATCTTTAATTGTATATGGACAACAAAACAATATTTATATCCTCTCTCATAAAATAGTGTCATATATATTTACATCTTAATTTCTTCTTCCCTTTATCAAAAGACCTCTTTACTTTTGATTCCCAGACAACATCCAATCCTTTCCCAGAATTTTTCCCTAAAATAACAATTGTCTCAATTTCTATGAAAATATTTCATGCTTCCTTTGAACTGCTATTTCCAAAGCTATTGCTTTTATTTTCCTATTTCCTTTGCCTCCGCGTTTCCTGAGAAGATAATCTGTCCTCCCTTCTCCCTCATCTTGAAATCACTAAGCTGTAATTCCCACTCTGCAGACACATTTTCCTCTTGCTGGCATGCAAACATGAAGTGGGTTGGGACTTCCCAGTGTTACTCACTTGCAAGTGATTGGCCTGAAATGGGACCTCAATAAATAGCTACCTAATAGGTTATCGACTCTGGAACTTCGTCCAGTTGGTTCTATCATATCTTCCTCAAGCTACACAAAAGTGCAATGTCGTGGCAGGCAGAAATAGCTATTTTTGTTTACACAGCTGGGAAAACTAAGTCAGAAGTTCCTCAGTGACTGAATTGAGTTCACCAAGCTTGTCCATTCAGCACTGTGTTACTCAGCTTTATGCCTCATCTAGTACCTGGCCTGCCCTTGGGAATCTCAGTGTACTTTGCTCCCAGATTAATGATATCCAATTAAAGCAGAACAATCTGAAAATGGAGGTAGCTCTCACATCTACTATACCACTGTTACTTCGAAATTTAAAATTTAAAGTCTGCCAATTTCTATTTAGGCCTCAGTGTGACTGCAGCCCTGACTATTAGTCCAGAAGTCTGGAAAATTTACCTTGCACTTGACTTTCCTCAAGACAAACAAACAAACAAAAAAACAACCAAAAATCAAAAATAACAACAACAACAAGAAAAAAATCCTCAAAAGAACTAGAGAGACTTGCCAACTAAAAAGGGCTAAAATTTCATCAAAAAGCATTTTTCTGAATACTTAAAATGATCAAATATTTTACTAGGCATTTTCCTTGAATTTGAGGTACCCAAACCTTAAGATCACATGACAAACTGATAAAGAATAGTTTGCCACACGTGTAGGCACCAAGAGGTTATCACATGTGTCCTAGCTTTCACACAGGAAAAACCCATGTGAGCTGGGTTAACAGCAGGGATGGGAAAGGGTGTTGGAAAGGGGGAGAGGTGGAATTGGGGTGCTTGGGTGGAAGAAAAGGCTGAATGGTCTAGACATGTTCAAGGACACCTGTTCTATGAACCTGTGCTGAGTAATACAGAGAAGTAACGTTGAGACTCTTCGTGAATGGCTGCAAAGTTCATTTTCAGATGGAGATACAATATAAATATTGTATAAAACAGAATAAGTCTGTGTCAAATCCATTATCTCACAGAAAGCCTGATGCTTAGGAGACAAGCTAGCAGGTTACTGCATGGCTCCTAAACAAATCTGAGCCAACAAAATAGCAGGAGACATGGAGGGGAAAGGAGTGGACATAGAAAGGATTGGTTGGTATGTGTGCACATTTATCAGATAGGTATATATGTGTGTATATATATATTTGTGTATATATATTTGCATATAATATTATATAACATATGCATGTAATAACAATTAAAAAGAAAATATGCATTTAGGAGAGAGGAAAGGGGAAGGGAAAATGATGTAATTATATTAAAGTCTCAAACTGGAAAGAGAAAAAGTACTGGGAAATAGGAACAGAGTAGGATACTAAGTTCTGTAGTGTGGATAGGAAGCAGGGAGACAGAAAGGATAGAGAAACAAATGACAATCGTTAGCATAAAATAATACCCAGAATGGCCAATGATACAAGCAGCTTTAGCGGAGTTTCCCCAGAACTACAATCTCCCAGCCAGTTTGCTGCACCACCTTGTCCCTCGGAGAAAGCCTATTCGGCCTCTTTATGTACCCACCTCTCGAAAAGCCTCACTTTTGAGTGCTTGAAGCCTTAGGTTTGTCTGGGGTTGCATGGTTTGAATTTCTAATCCAGTCAGCCCGGTTTTCTTCTTTTTCTGAAGAGCAATGTACAATTGATAGAGAAGTTTTGTTGCTGCTCCTGGCTTCTCTGTGATGATACTTTGGGCCACATTCTGATCAAACTGCACACCCAACAGGTGGAGGGTTGGCTCCAAGCGGGAGAAATTGTTAAGTTTGGCAGTGGAACCCCTAAAAGTGATAATAAGTTCATAGTATACATTAACACTGAATTTAAAACAAACACGGAGTCTCAGAAGTGCTGTTAAGACAGAACCCTGAATTACCCCACCACACTTAAATGCTTCCTTTCTCTTACATGATACAGTGATGAAAACACTTGGGGATATCTTCCACTGGCCATGTTTCTCTGAATTTCATTTTTCTGGTAGCAGCTAAAATTCATTAATTGTATATGTTTTATGCTGTAAATTTACAATAAAATATTGTATGGGAAGTAAGTACAAAAACAGACAACCAAATATATTCTTCTAAGTGGATAAAAAAACTACAGTTTTGATAATTATATTTTATCCTAAAGGCAAAATTAAAATACGAATGCCCATTGCATTAAGTGATCGTTTATTATTGATAAAATCTTTTACTAGTCCTAAAATTTATAATGACAAGCCTAACAATGACCCTCTCAGACACTGTATATAATTTTTAAGTAAATGATATTAGCTATGGAATACATTGTTACCCTTCAATATGTGCTTCATAGTAATTCTTTGAAGTGAAAAGGACTCTATAATTTGAAATTATATTTATTTTTAATAATTTAATTTCAACATTGCCTCAGACTTCAAGAAACTAATGAATTCATTTTGTTCCCCCAATTAACATTTTATTAAAATAACTAGGTACTAAGGGTATATCTATTTATTAAGTTTAGTTAATTTCAAAGATTAGTTGACATATATAGGGCTAGATAGATAACTTAAGATCACGTGTTGCACTTCCAGAGGATACAGGTTTGATTCCCTGCTCCCACATGTCAGCTAACAAGCATCTCTAATTCCAGTTTCGGGGGATCCATTGCCATATTCTGGCTTCTATAGGCATTACACATCCATGTGTTGCACAATACATATATGCAGGAAAAGCCCCATACAAGAAAAATTTTAAAAAATTAGTGAAGTGTTAAAAATTAACAAGATGTGCTCGTAGTTAATAAGAAATATATTTAAATAAAAAGCAATAAAAAATGAGATGCTGCTTCAGATGTCTCAAATGGTTTGCAGCTGTTGGTGATTAGTGAATCTGACGATGGACGGGAGAGGTACTCGATGCATTTTAACCACTGTGACTCTATCATCAAACCAGATACACACACCAGTTCTAGCCTTTGGCCTGATTTCTTCTTATCTCAGCTTCTAACATGCAAGTTTGTTCTTTAACACAAAATAAGACAGAGTATACTTGAATGTAAATCAAAGTTCATGCCAAAAGTTATTGCTCAGAATCGAGAGTTGCCATATCTCTGAGTGATTGTGCAAAACATGTGGAGTCCCATGTACCTTACCCACCATACATACGCAGAAAGATAGGGCCTGAGAGTTATCTATCCAACTTAGGTCTCTGTTGTACACTGGGCTGCAATATTTAGAGACATTATAATGCAGGAGGGAGACTACAAAAGCAATCACAAATTGTTTTTCCATTTTTGCGAAGCTCATCCCTACAGTCAGAAGAACGAAACCCTTCTTCTCACTTGTCTTACATAGCTTCCTGAATATAGTGTTTGCTTGTGAATGTTACAGTTGGCTTACACTTTGGTTTTTAGATTGTGTTAATGAACTAGTCCAACTGCCCTAACAATAATTCTCCCCGAAAGAATTAATGAATATTCTAAATTACCATCAGTCAAATTTGAGGATCACAACTTGAAGGACTATAGGGAACCTGTGATTGTTAAGGCATCCACACAGCCAGCATAGGAGGTTAATGGGCTCTTGTTTTTGAATATGAAAAGCAGCTGGGACATCTTTGCTCTAGAGAAAAGGCGTATGATGCAAATGATGACCTCTGAGGGAATAAGAAAGGTGCACTGGGAAAAGTTTTCTTGCCCTCTGCTGATAGTCTTTGTTTGCTAAGGGACTTAGGTCTCTTCTGCTGCTTGCCACCAGGTAACAACACACTTCCTCTCACCATGAGAAGATCTGCCCTCCAAAAGATGGTTCCTTATTCACAATTTGTTTTCATTTTAACTAATCTGCTCTGGCAAAACCAAGCTGGTTTCAAAGTAAAGAATCCTCCCAGAGTTAGACAAGTTATACTTGGAATTGAGACATTTCTAAGACATGTAACTTCATGCTTTTGGCAACATGTAATTTTTAATTTTCATTTCAGACAGGAATAAAGACATGTCCACCGGCCAATCTTATGGAGGCAATTCTTCAAAGTTCTCACTTCCCAAGCAACTCTATTTTTTGTCACGTTGACAAAAGGCTAACCAAAACAAGAAGCTAACATGGGTTAGGTCATTTTACAATAATTTTGGACACCTGGCTTTGGCGGTTACTCTAATAAGAACTGATATAAACAAATGATCATAAATAAACATGATAAGGAAAAGAATCACCTAAGTATCACTGGATCAGAGAGAAGACAAAAGGTGAAATCTGCTGGCAGAATTAAAAGGTTTAAAGAATGGTGGACGTGTAGTTGGATCCTAAGAATGAATTAGGGTTTTTCATGGAAAAAAAAAAGTGAAAGAATAACAATATGCAAAGATCCATGTCTGGGTTTGAATGAGAATGGCTCCCATAGGTGGCTTTGTTGGAGGAAATGTGTCTCATATATGGGCAAACTTTGCTCAGTATGATATTCAGACCATTTCCTGTTGCCTGCAAGATGTAGGACTCTTAGCTACTTCTCCAGCATGTCTGCCTCTATGCCACTATGTCCCACCATGCTGATAATAGATTGAACCTCTGAACTGTAAATGAGCCATCTCAATTAAATGTTGTCCTTAGCTCTCCATCCCTCTTTCTCTTTCTCCTCTCTGTGCCTCATGCATGGTAAAGATGGAAGGTCTCATTACTGCTCCAGGGCCACGCCTGCCTGCCTGATGTCACGCTCTCTGTCAAATCAGGATGATCATTTACTCTAACTCTTTTGAACCGTGAAATCTAGCAAATTCCTTTCTAAGTTGCCTCGGTCTTGGTGTCTCTTTACGGTAATAGAAAAGTAACAAAAGCAATGCATGATGAAATGAAAAACATAGTATATGTGTAGACCGATATTAGAAAGAACTCTATTAGTGGGTAATATGCTTGAAATGTATACCCTCTAAGAATTTACCTGGTGACTTAGACATTAATTAATCCTCCCCCCCCAAAAAAAACCTAAAATTTTACTAAACTTGAAGTTTAGCTTGTTAGGTCATTAATATGCAGAGAAAAATAATGGGGCATCCTTAATGTGAAGGGTTTTGAATATACAGTGTTTGAAACCCAAAGAAACTGAAACCAAGGAAAACAGTACAAAAACATGTAACTGTGCAATATGAGTTTCTAAAGTACATAAAATGATAAACAGAAGTATTGGAAATGTTGCTACACACAGGTAACCATAGAACAGCCTATGAGTATGAGACTATTTGATGACACAGAAGAGCAAAGGAGAGTGGGACCACTCATTACTACCCAATATTCTTATGCCTGGGAGGCTGATCTAGCTGCAAAGGTGGTAGAAAAGGACACAGGACTAGAAGGTCAGGCAGAGGAAGCTGCTAAGAAGAACTGTGGAAAAACTTGCACAACACGCCATAAGGGAAAGGAACATGGCAGAGCATGTTTTTGTTTGTTTTGTTTCAATTTTATAGATTGAAATATTCCTATGTCCTTAAAAAGCTTAAGAAATGAGCTAGGAAGGAGGAAGATAAGAGGGGGGGCACAACAATATGTTTAATGGTATGAAAATATGTTTACAGTCTTTGGCTTCTATTGAGTCATACAATTCCTTCTTGTACAACTGGTGTAAATTAGATTTACGAAGAAATCAGTCACCTATGAAGAGGATGTATTAGATATGTTTGGTGCAGACAGTTTTTATCATAGAAGGGTTTGAGTGGGAAGTGTCAGGTTAAAAGTGATTCATGTTAGGTTACCAAGAATGGGAGGGGAGAGTGAAGTACTTGCTGGGTGAGCATGAGAATCTGAGGTTCACTTTTGGGATTCGAGTAAAAATACCGAATGTGGTGCCCACCACTTGGAATTCCAGCACTCGAAAAATGGAGACAGGAAGAACCCTGGTGATCAATAGCAAAATAGTCCCACTACCAAGCCAATGAGAGACTCCATCTAAAAAAAGCAAGGTGGATTGTTCCTGAGAAATGAAAGGAGAACTAAGATTGTCCTTAGGCCTACCATATACATATTTGTATGTATGCATGCATGTACACACACACACGCAAACCGCCACCACCACCAGCAGCAGCAGCAGCAGCACAACCAAGACCTCAATAACTATCTTGCTTAAAGACTGAAAGACTTCAGACGAAAACTCAAAAATTCACCCTTTCAGAACTGCGAGAATCAGAAATCCAGGGCTTGCAACAATTCAAAGGACAGCTGTTTAAGAATAATACACCCATAAAATATTTCCACTGTTGTCATATTGACACAAATATTATAGGGGTAACAAACCACTAATTTTTTATTGGTTTTAAGGGCTGCTTCAGTGAGAGAGCATCCATAACTGACACTGTTAATGAGGGCAAGAACCTGAGACTACTTAGGTCAAGAGCCCTGAGGAAACTTACTATTATTCTGTTAAATGAATACAAAGACAAAATGACTCCAGATGACATATTGCTACGCCCATAGACTGGTGTAGTACTCAACCCTCATCAGAGAAGTTTTTTTTTCTTTCATTAAATAGTAATTCCTATAGAGACCTACAAATGAACAATGGGAAGAGAGTGAGAGACTTTGAAGCGTTCCGCTCCAAATTGTGTTTATCATAACCCTTTATTAATTAATGCTCATAGGTCCATGTTGAACATGATGCAGAATGAGTAAAAGAGCCAGATATTGTAGACAGCTTCAAGGAAACCATATTTCCAAGACATATTTTTGCAGGTTTACATATGAACTCACAGAGACTGTGGCAAAAGCACAACCTTCACAAAGTCAAACAGGACACGGAGAAAGGGAAGTGGGCCCAGGGTCCCACTTCAAAAAGAAGCTACTGAAAGGTGCCGAGAGAGCTGAAATCAGTTTGCTTCAATGGAGGGACGCTGGTATATCACACCAGGTCAGGCCTCGTGTTCAGAAGTAGTTGACTAACACAAAATGGACACTATATTTTCTAGTATGGGCTCTTTTTGTTATTATTTTGAAGAAAGAGAGAACATGAAGTTGGGCTGGTGTTCAGGATATGGGAGAAGTTGGGTGGGGAAAGAATACAATCAAAATATATTGTATAGTGTTTTTTAAAATGAAAAGAAACATGGTGCTTGATCTGTAGAAGAATAGATTATTTGTTATTGTACCTCATTTTTATTTCCACCCCTTTCCTACTAATTTCACAACAGTCTCCAAATACAGTAGCAGTAGCTACAAAATCCAGCAATCAACAGAGAAGGCAAAGAGATCTGAAGCTCTTCCACAGAGATTCTTTGTTGCAAGCACTGCCACTATTTGACCTGCCTGATAGTTCTCTCTCTCTGTGTGTGTGGATTTGTAATTATTTGATCTGCCATAATGATTATTCATTGAATAAGCCATAATCCAAGAATATTAACACAGAGTAACTAGTGACACCTGAGCTAGATTGCAGGTGCCTGGCATGGAGCTATCAGCTCTGCCAAACACGAGTTTTCTCTCAACCAGAAAGATCTGAGAATATGTGGTGTGTTGAGTCGGAAGCTGTTGTGGTTCCTCAGCAATGCTCTACCATGCAACATACGAACGTGCAAGAGTATAGGTTCCTGGGAAAGACTCGAGCGACTCAGATCATCTCATGTCTTTCACCCGGTTAAGGAGTTATCACAGGAAGCAATGAGTAAGGCAGAACTGGAAATTTCCTAAGCAAAACAGGTTTCAAGACTCTCACAAATCACTCAGCAAAGGCTGACTGTACAAAATGTGTATTGGCTGATCAATAAGTTATCAAGTACTGGACATAGGTACTGAATACAGCCAGGAATAGAGGCTTAACAGAATTTGCCCTAAAAAGTCATTAAGGAAACAAAAAGCAGCTGCAATTGTGCTCACAGTAGATAGGAACAACAGCAAAAATGTGGAAATCTGAATTAGCAATTGGTATTTGGAATGAGATATTCCCCAAGTGTTGGGTATTTGAATACTTTGTCTTTAGTTGGCGGCTGTTTGCAGGGGTATTAAGACGTGTGAGCACTGGGATCCAGCTTTGAGGTTTTAAAAGACTTACACAGTTTTGAGTTAGGTCTCCCAGCTCCTTGCCTGTGGATCAAGAGCAAGCATGCAGCTGCTACTCCAGCACCATGCTTGCCTGCCTGCCTGCCTGCCTGATGCCATGCTCCCCAGTATGGTAGTGATGGACTCTCATCCTTCCAGAACTCGAAGTCTAAAATAAACTCTCCCTTTAAAGCGTTGCCTTGACTTTGGTGCCTTTTCACAGTAATAGACAAGTCACTAAGGAAGTACAGCATTTTATTTTCTAAGACCAATGCCCAATAATTATCACACATGCAGATAAACAAGAAAGTATGGACACCACAAAAGAAAAAGACCCAATAGAAGCTCTCTGACAAAGCCTACATAAAGACATTAAAATGAATAATAAAATATTTTCACAAGCTAAAAAATGGTTTTTGAATTAGAATAAAGAATAAGGAAACACTCTCAACAATAAAGAAATAAGAATTATAAAAAAGAACCAAATAAAATTTCAGAGTATAGAATTACTACTGAAAGTTGGCCCAGCTAGTATGGTTAGCAGAGACCAAGACTCAGGAATGAAATACTCATCACAAGAGTTCAACCATAGATTTAAGTGGCAAGAATAAAGAATAAAAAAAAAAAACCTCAAAGGTATATGCCTGAAATTATTCAGGCATAGAACAATAAAAAAACTAAAAAATGAGTACAATTTCAAAACACCAAAACTACAAATAATCAAAATAATTGAGTTGGAATTCAACAAAATGGAAAAAGATATACATCAACTATATCATAACAAAGTTATAATTTAACTGACACAATGAAAAAAAAATTTGCAAATCATTTATCTGACTACAAACTTACCTTAGGATATGAAAATAAAGTAAAAATAAAAACACAAAGTGATTTAAGAACAGGTAGAATATCAAAATATACATTACATCAATGATGATGAATAAATTAATAAGATGTAAAGATAGTTAACATCACTAGAGATCATGGAAATGCAATTTAAAAACCATAATGCAACACAAGTTCAGCCTATTAGAATAGTAATAATGAATGGAAGGAGGGGTGGGGCAGATCTGTGAACACTAGGCGAGGGGAAGCTGTTATCAGGATTTACTATATAAAAAAAGTCAATTTTCAACAAAAATAATATGAAGAAAGACAACCACAAATATTAATAAGAATGAACTAAAACTAAAACTCTCATATAGTGCTACTGTAAATTTAAATCGTGGTTTTTATAAAACAGCATATATGTGCTTTTATATAAATATGTATGGGTGTATTATATATATGTGTAATTATATACATATATATGTATCATAGCAATGGCATTTCTAGTCATATAGTCAAGAGGAATAAATACCCAAAAGTAATAAGAACATAAGCATGCAATACAAAATCCATAATAAATAATAACTCCAGCAAAAGAAAACTCAAACATACATCTACAGCTAATCAAAATATGGTGTGTCGTACTCATATAATTGAAAATTTACAGGAAGTAAGTAGTAATGAAAAGAGGCACATAGACAAGCCTTGAGACTTGATCTTAAGTGGGAAAAACAAACAAAATGTGTCCTTTTCCTTACCCCATTGCTAAATACCATGTACAATGGGTAAATCCAGAGACTGGAAGCTTACACAAAATAGGGCCTTAGTATCACAAATATATAACCATACAAAAATCCACCATACTGAGACATAAATTATCAAATGACAAATTAAAGCCAAAAATTATGCTTCAATATTTTTGGTAAGACAAATTGTGGAATTTTATTAATAGTTTAGTCCTATTGTATATTTTTAAAACACAATAATTCTGATTGATCGCCAAGGATCCTAGCTTGCATTCTGTCTCAGCTCATAAATGAATCAGGGCTGGAGAGATGGCTCAGGAGTTCAGGGTGCTGGTTATTCTTCCCAAGGATCAGGGCTTGATTCCCTGCATCCACAAAGGAGCTTACAATTGTCTGCAACTCTAGTCTCAGGGGATTTGACACCTTCTTCTGGCTTCTGTGGACACCGTATGCATGTGGTGCAGAGACATTCAAGCAAACACTCATACACATAAAATAAAAATAAATAAAAATCTCAAAATAAGAACACTGTGCTAACAAAAAATGGATAAATCTGGGCTAAGACTACAGAGTCTTATTTATGGAAAGAAGACTTGTTGCAAACATATTCATTTCTCTCCTTTGAATTCTTGAGATAACAAAGACCAAAAATATTGAATTTTTGATGAAGAAAATAACTTTACTAACCTGCTCTCTGAAAATTCTGCAAAATCACTCTGAAGTTCAAACTTGTACAGAACTTCTCCAATTAGATAGCCATTAGAAAATACCTTTGCAAATGACTTAGGACCTGAAATTCAAAATATGGAAATAAAACAGTAAATTATTTTTTGAAGTATGTAGTCAGGCCAGCATAACTGAGTACAAACACATCATGTCCTGGATATATTTATAGAAACATCTTCTAATAACCAATGTAAAAGATTTAACAAGAGACATTAAGTTCCCCAAAGATAAGCCAGTAGTTGATGGTAAACTAATTTTGAAAGAAGTGGAAAATCTTTTCTAATTAAATTAATAAATATCTTAATCTAATAAAACTGTCAAAGTAGTCTATGAAACTGTGCTCCAAATACTTAAGCAAAGACTCCAACTTAGATGCAACCTAATTTTTTAAATATAGATTTAATTTTAACCTGTAAATTAGTAGATATACTAAAATCATCCATACTTTAAAAAAATCCTTATTGGACACCATTGGGATCTTGTTTCATAGTTCAGACATATCACCACTGCCGAGTTTATTTGCAGTGGAGTGATGGCAATAGCTCAGAACAGAGAGTTCTAAAAAGAAATAAAGATGACTAATAAATATTTTTAAATATGTTCAACATCCTTAATAATTAGTATAATGCAAATTAAGGCAACTTTGAGATTTCATCTTTCTACAGTCTTAAGAATAGTTAAGGTCAACAAAACAACTGACAGCAAATACTGATGAGGACATGGGAAAGGTGAACAATTCGTCACTGTTGGAGGGATTGTAGGGTGGTACAGACCTAGGTAAAACAGTGCGGCGAATTCACAAAAATGAAATAACGTGTCTACTATGTCCTAGCAATACCATTCCCCAGCATTTTTTGAAGGACTTCACATCCTATTCCACAGATACTTTCTCATCAGCCATATTTAGTTAATCTATTCACAATAAGCTAGGAAATGGAAACCACCTACATGTCCTTCAAATGAGGAATAGATGATGAAAACATGGAACATATAGATAATAATCTCTTCCGTTGTAGAGAAAACTGAAATTATGGGATTTTCAGGTAAATGAATGAAACTGGAAACTATGCCATGGAGGAAAGCCAGACACAGAAAGATAAATATTTCAAGTTCTTAATTATTCTTTCTTTTAAAAATGTCCTTTGGTATGGATGCAAAGAGGGTGGTAGTAAGGAATGAGGTGAGCTGCTCTCAAAGGCAACACCCGGGGAACTCTAGGCCACAGTAAGTGTTTTCACATCTGACCCCCAAGACACAATTTTAAATAAAACTTCCTTGATACTTGTTCTTATAGTAGTTAATCTGAATAATATTCCAATTTTTAGGATGAGTTAAAATGATAATACCTGTTATTTATGGAAATTTCCTCTAAAGTGGCAAATCTGGTGCTCATTATGGCCTTCAATAAGCTTGCTCAGGACACCAGTCGGATCATTATCTTAAAGCTATTCACCACAGAACATGTTCAACATCGATGAATTTGGTCTCCTAGTCAGTCATACCTGTCCCTAAGAAATTGCCTTTAAAGAGTGGACTCCTCTGTGTTATAAGGAGCTGCTGTTTGTTTCTCAGCTGCCAGGTAAACTCGTCGGTAGAGCATGAGACTCTTAATCTCAGGGTCGTGGGTTCAGGCCCCATGTTGGGTGCCAGATGAAGAAAGATGTTAAAAAGAAATCTCACACTAGCTCCGAATTGAGTATAATAAAAGGTTATTTATTTAGGCATAGATTCACAGATCACAGTCCTCTGCTCAAACGGGGAACAGCAACCGAATCCCACAGCCAGAAGAGAGGGCGACCATGCGCTTTACATGGGCATTTATAATATAAGAGGCCACGCCCAAGTGGGTGGGTAACTTAAAGGCTACTGGTGGTAGGAATTCCCATAGCACCTCTAGGATGACAATTCATAACTCATAGTACATATTACCTCCATGAAATAAGCTCATCCTTCATAGCCAAACTACCCTCTGTCCTTAACTTACTATGGCAACACTTGTGATGCCATCAGAAAAACTTGTGAAGATCGGCATGATCTCTCATTAAATGAAAGTGCCATCTGATATGATTCTTCAGCTATCTAAAGCTAATAAAATCCCAAGGGTTACTTCCTCCATAGGACAGAACTGTGCCATCATTGCCTCCAATTCTATGGTTCCTCTCTATGTCCTTGAAGATCTCCTGGTACACAACAGAGCTGTTTACTGGCTGCCAGCACTATCCCCGATGGGCCATTCTACCTCTCTTGCTAATTGCATCTTTATTTTCAGTTTTCTCGCTAGCCTCTACTGTAACTCATTCCTAGGCTCTTCTGTAATTCATCCCCCTTCTCTTAGTTTTCTAACAAAGCCACTGTATCTGGAGCCATTGTCAGATTGTATATATATATATATATATATATATATATATATATTTCTTCCAGGTCCTAGCTTTTTGGAATTTGGGTTCTATTTTTTGGCACTTTGCTTTCTGTGCACAAGCAGTTGCACTGTCTGATCCCATGACTGCTGCCCTCTGTATCTTGCCCTGTGCTTTTTATGCCAATCCAATGCCTGGAGTTCAGCCTACAAATATAGTATCAGATGTGGCTTGATACTACCCTGTCACCCTTGATATAGCAGATAAATGGTCAGTAGCAAAGTTTTTGCTGCCAAAAGATTTGCTTAAAAATAAACTCATAATCCACTTCATTTGAAACTGCAGAGGATATTAATTATGTAACAAAAATATAGATAAAATAGAAGTGTTTATGGCTTAAAGTCAAAGAAAGAGTAATCAGTTATTTTATTGCCAGAATAGTTCATAATGAAAATAATATAAAACATTGGTCAGCAGGTTTTCATGCAATAAGGACTTCAGATTTACCGTGTAATAGACAGCAAGAAAAGTTACACTGAGAAAAAATACATTAAATAGTAAGAGCAGCAAAGAAGATGATACAAAATGAAAAAACAGGAAAGAATACATGCAAACAATGAGGCAAAGAAAGGGAAAGGAAAAAAGCATGAACATTATGGATATGCAGATTAAAATGAAACAATCTCTTATCAATGTTGAAAAAACATTAATACACATTAACAGGACATAACAAGACAAAAAGCAAGGGAGGAGCATAGCAAAGGCTAATTCAGGGAAAGTCATAGTCAGGGAAGGTGTTGTTCTTTTAAATTCAGTTGTGTTTTTTTTTTCTTCCCATTCAATATCACTAAATAGTATGACTGATTTCATAGTAATCACCTCCCTGGATTAACTCTACTACCAGTTGGCATTCCCAATGTGAAGAAGTGGCAAGTTTACTCCAGGACTATAAATAGTAAATAGTTTAAGAAACATGCAAGGGGCACTACTCATCTTTAACAAAGGTTATTTATCATCTGGGATCAAGGTTGTTAAGCAGAAACTCAGTTCCATGTGCAACCATGCAAGCCATAGGTCTGGTGCTCAACACTGAAACTGACATGTGACCAAAATCTTTGGTGTCATCCTCTGTGATAGGTCTGTCATGCTCCAGCAGCAGGTGAAATGGCCCATGTACTTCTCTATCAGTGTGGCCCACCACTAGCTGGAGAACACACTTAAAAACATTCACAGTACAAAGTGGAAGCTAAGGTTATACAAGAAGGGGCTTGGTCTGTGTACACAACACTTTACCTTACCTAATTAAAAGCCATAGTTTTTTTATGTGTGAAATAGGAAGACTGGACCATCGTCCATAAAGAATTATGTGAGAATTAAATGAGACATTGCACATAAAGTTCCTGGAGTCATGACTGAGCCACAGTGTGTTCAGCAGAGATTTTATTGTCATGATTATACTCTTCTAGAAAGACAGTGGGTCATGTTAGCTATACAGTCTACATACTCAGTAATAGATCTTCAATGGTGATGTTGCATGAATGTTTCTCCAAAGAGTGTTTCACTGTCCAGAAAGCAAACATATAAAATTCCCCTGAAACCAGACATGAGCTCACCCTTAGGGCCAGGTAGAATATAACATCTTCATATTTCTATTTATTTATTTATTTATTTATTTATTTATTTATTTATTTATTAAAGATTTCTGCCTCCTCCCTGCCACTGCCTCCCATTTCCCTCCCCCTTCCCCAATTAACTCCCCCTCCCTCATCAGCCTGAAGAGGAGTCAGGGTTCTCTGCCCTGTGGGAAGTCCAAGGACCTCCCACCACGAGCAAGGAACTCAGGACCGCGAGGGGTGCACCAACATCTTCATATTTCTGATCAAACATCCAGACTCAGTTGATTTGTACAGAAAAATATTGAATGGTTTGTATTCAATGAAATAAAAACACTAAACAGCCCCCATAACATGCTTTGTTAGATATTTCAACCAAATAAATGACAAATTTCAGAAAATTCTGGCTTAGAGATTGTAGATAAAAGACCACAATCCATGTCACTCTATGCTCAGTTGCATTTTCTCCCTTTGACAGGAGGAAAGATCCTATCTACATCTCAAGTGCATGTTTGAAAATCAAGCAAATTTATTTTCCTTTGAAAGAGATAAAGGCCACTGCTGGCAGCTGGAAAATGGCCTGTTTCTAAGAAGCCTCTGCATTCCTCGGAGCTGGCCAGCACTCACAGAAAGACCTTGGCCTTCTTGTGGTGAGCATAACCAATTTTACAGCATACTAACTGCAGATAAGTTTGGTTTGTGGTCCTGGTGGATAAAACAACAAACCTATTGAAATTATGTCTGCACAGAGACAAAACCAAGAAGCTGTCTGATGTGGGATTCCCCTCTCTATGCTGTGAATACCAATGGTTAATAAAGAAACTGTCTTGGGCCTGTGCAAGGAATAGAGGTAGGCAGGGAAAACTAAGCTGAATGCTGGAAGAAAGGAGGCAGAGGCAGAGAGAAGCCATGTAGCCCCACCGCAGACAGATGCTAGGAACTTTACCCAGTAAGCCACAGCACATGGCTATACACTGATTACTAGAAATGGGTTAAATTAAGATATAAGTGTTAGCCAATAAGAAGCTAGAGCTAATGGGCCAAGCAGTGTTTTAATAATAATAGTTTCTGTGCGATTATTTCAGGTCTGAGCT